ACCATCTGTACATTGTATTACACAGTCAGGGCAATAGATGTTGATCTTGCTGAAATGAACTAACTCAACAAAGTCTTTAAATGTACCATAAAGATTAAGCTTGTATATATCTAATCATTTGTATCTGGTATTGACATTAACAATGTTTTTATGCAGGCTCCTTGGTAGCTCAATTTCAACTTGGGTTCAGAGCCTCCCACCTTGGGAGTGGCCCAAAACTGGCTGACCACTCCTAGAGTGGGGTGTGATAGTTTTAGCGGAGGATTTCTCAGCTCTGAGTGCATCGACTATACCTTTTGCTCAACAGAAGCTTGCAGGCCTGCAAGAGTCATATCCCTCACACATAACACAGAGTCTTTTAAATTTTAGGGTCACAGTAAGAAAGCAGGAAGATAACCTGTAGATGCAAGTTGCCTAGATGAATCCTAAGAACTGTCTGCCTTTCCTAGATTGATGATGGAGGTGTTGCAGGGATGTGGATTAAATGCTTTTGGTAATTAGATGTTCCAAATTAATTTAGGAAATTAATTTATTAATAGACTCCCAAATCTATTAAGTACTATCTCAATAGTGTCACCAAAACCAATCTTGGCTCACCACCCTTGACTGTGTCCTAAGGCTTACTAGGTACTGCAGGATTGTGCACTATTCATCTGTACTGTCCTTCATCTCCTGCCCTTTCAACTCCCGTCTCAGGTTGAAAATAATGTGACAGCTGCATATAAAAGCATGTCTATGCATGCATGTTCTACACATTGTAGGTAGTTGCACCATGTGATTCAAACTGTGATCATAAGCACATAAGGAATTACCTGTGCTGATCAGTCCAAACTGTATGTATGCTGTATCTGCTTCATCAAAACCTTCATCCCTGAACATAAAGCATTGAATTATTTTGAGACATAAAAAGGGTAATACCATTATCCTGTACTTGGCTTATTATAAACTCAGTTATCCAGGTTTTATGCTCACACTAAAGAATGAGGTAGTGACCATGACTAATTATCAAATGAAATTGGATATTGCATGCATACATTTTGTAATGTTTTCACCCAACTTTAGAGTTGTGGGGGAGTTGGAGCCTATCCCAGCAAGCAACAGGAGCAAGATAAAATACACCCTGGACAGGGCACCAGTCCATAGCAGGACACACGCTCACACCCAGAACCAATTCTCCCAGAAGCCAATTAATCTACCAATATGTCTTCGAACTGTGGGAGCACCCAGAGGAAACTCACTTTAACATGGGGAGAAAATACACTTACAAACTCTACGCAGATAATACCCCAGGAATTAAACCTAGAGCCCCAATGCCGTGCGCAGCAACACTAACTTGTGCACCACATGCCACCCCCAAAATCCTTATTCCTTTTTTTAAAAAGGTACATACATTTTGTAGTAATTATATTTAAATGTTGCCATAGGTCAGCTTAAAAGAAATGTGAGTTTTCCTCTCTATCATGATAATTATTTCATTTGATCAGCTATTACCAGTTTATCCCTGCATGACCTTACACAGACCTGAATAACAAATCATAAAGACAGACACAATAATGAACTGCAGCAACTTTAGTATTTGTCGCGCAGGCAACAGTGTTCTCTTCTTATAAATCACAGTAATATAAGAAACTGAAACTTAATCTTCCTGTTTCTCTTCAGTGCATCCTGTAGAAAACCCCACAGACACTTGACAGGAAAACAGGTTAAAATTTCAAATGAAAACAAATACAGTACAGTACTTAAACTGAATATCATAATCACACAAAAGTATGTCTGACGCACAATGATAGGTAGCATATATTGTAATATTTTTTTATAAAAAAGAAAAAAAACAACTAATTACATCGTCTTGTATGATTGCACAAGAAATATTGCAAAGCTTTACCTTTTATAGTAGTTGTATAAATCTATGGCTGCATTATTAGTAAGCAGCACATTACATACAAGATAAAAAAGGATAAAAAAAACAATTAATAATATTAAAGTGTGATTTCAGAAGAAAAGTTGCATAGCTTTATCCTGTGTCTGGTATGCTGCACTGCAATTAAATCTCACCATTACTAAATGACAGAATGTGTTTTTAGTTTACTTACCACCAATAAAAGTGTGTCCAATTTATTAATTTCAGGAATATAAGAATACTTGTACATATACCAACATTTGTTTCAAGTTAAATTTGTAAAAGTCGATTATTTTCTATTGTTTCTGAATAGTGACAATAATGAATAGGAGGAACAGCACTTTTGGCACTGATGTTAATGCGAGCTCATGGGCATTAAAGAGGTCCAAGAAGCCACAGTCGATCTACAAGCTAAGTAGCCCTGAACAACTCAAACCCAGCTCTAGCAGGTGCACCATCAGACAATTGGCTAACACAGCTGAGGTTTGGAGAAGCAAACCAAGTTTCTTCTAAAGGTTCAGTGCACCGATAAGGACATTCTGAGAGTCTGTTCCAAAAGACGTATGGTACTGATAATTCTGTCTTGATCATGGTCTAGTGAACATATACAAAATCCCTTGAATTTTGTAAAGACTTCAAGATGTTAATCTTGGCTCGTAAAGTCCTAAAATGAATTTCTTTTACTTATATATCTGGACTAATGCATTTCACCCCTATTTGCACTCTCTTTGGATCTCTAATACTGATCTCTTGTTTGTTTTGTGAACACGAGCATAAACTGTAGATGACACATACTGTGGGCTGCATTTCACATAGGCTGAGGAATATTCTTCCATGTGAAATCTGGAACTCTGAGTGTTTTCAAAACTTAACTTCAAATATACTTGTTTATACGGGCATTTGGTGTAGATTGTGTTATGTATACTGTGTTTTGTTTATTGATGCAAGAGCATGTTGTGAGTATCTAAAACACTATTGTCTCAGATGCCTGAGACCTTTATATTATTTGTATTCTAAAATACAGTTTCTATTATTGCTGTTATTGATATTAGGTACAAAACAAAATAAAGGTTTGACCATATAGCAGTGGAATAATCCATTTGTGACATTGAGTCTTACCAAAACCTCAAACACACATTGAAATCTATGTCTACCTTACATGTCAAGAAGCTCACTCCCCATAATTTTCTATCCTTTATTTCATTCTGTTGATGTATGTTTTTGCACATCTGATGTTGTTTTGCACATTACCTGTTACCTTTTGTTGTTTTGCATATTGCCTGTTGTTGTTTTGCACACTGCCTGTTGTCTCTGTCTTTCTTTTATTATACAATTGTATTGTTGTTTTTTGTACTACTTACAAAAGAGCTAGCTAAATAGCATTTCGTTATACCATATACCTGTATATGAGTATAATGACAATAAACTTGAACTTGAACTTGAATCGAGTGTGTTAAAAGACAAAAAAGCGTAATTATTTTTTGGAAGCTTAAGGTACATGGTGCTCTCAATGTTTCAGAACAGCAGAAAAAACCCCAAAACTAAATAGGACTACAAGTTCAGAGAGAGAGATAAATTTACTTGCAGATTTTTAGCCTTTCTGAATAGTCTCAAAATATTGAACTCCTGTACAGAATTAAGTTGCTTAACTTTTAAATCACATGATTTATAATAAATGTTCTTTTACCAGTAAGTACTGTATGGTCTTGCAGCTACTAGTAATTATGCATTTTTTGTAAAAAACATCCTGTATTACTGGTGTCCGGGTTCAAATTGTGTTCACGTGTCCTTTCGCGCTTCTGGAGCCATGTGACTGTGATAACTAATTTTCGTCTAGCTGCTGACAAAAAGAAAATAGGGAAGTGGTTTTGAAACTAGAACATTGTACACAGTCATGCAGTTTCGCAATTCGTTTAAGTCATTAGAAAAGTAGCAGATACAGTAGAAACACCCTGAGATTCACACGTCCTTGAATCTAAAGTAAATAGGTCGCCCCCATAAGCAGTTTGCCATCTTTCAATTTTGTGTTATAGTCTTTTCAGCTTGATATTTCCCTAATTAGGAAAGCCAAAGTACACCAAAGTAGCCAGGCTAATTGTATTTTTCTAACAATGCTGATTTTTTAATTGTGAAACAAGTTCACATTCCAAGTTGTCATACTGTTGTGCAAAAAATAAGATATAACTTCCATTTACACCAATTTAGATCCCCTGGATATGGATTAAAACAATATTGAATTGCTATAATAACATCTTGAAATATGATTATTTCTACAATGAAAAATGTTACAGACTATGTTTTTACAAAAACAGGAATGGGTGTAACTGTGATTTGCATATTTTTCAGGGGTAATGTTAGATGAGCTTTGTATCAGCATAGATTTACATATAGTGTCTGTGTTCTACAATTGTTGTTTGTACTCTTTATTTTGGTAAAGCAACTATGGCCATATTCATACTAAACTGTGTTTTTTTGTTGTCAGGATCTGTTTTGTTATTCCCCTACATGCACAAAATACTTTTAGACAATTTATGGAACTCTTCAAATAATTATCAGATGCAATAAATCATTACAATCATTGTTTTATTTTTCAAATTATAATGACATGCAAAAACTAAATATACCTTACACTAGATTGTAAATTACAGTTTTAAAAACGGCATGGGCAGGTTACATATAATAAAAACACATTCCTAAAACTATTTTATTGTTCTAATTTGATACATTACTTTTAACATGGTCACAGGCCAAGCTAAACAGCTCACACCATCTTGACTCCTTGATGAGTGTGAAGGTTATTTTCCCTTATGTCATAATTCCCATCACAGGATTTGAAGGTTTCAGAATTTGTTGGTGGTGAATTTTTTAAACATGGCTTTTGAATATAACTTTTTCAGTTTCAATTAAACTAATCTTGTATAACTGTCCAAACAGCAGATCTTTATTCATGACTCATTGGACAGCACTAAAATGTGAGTTGAATCCCCAGCGTGTTGTCAGACATCCTCCTACTCTCTAAAAAATCACCTACATTTTACATCCAAAATGCTATAGAGTCATTAAGCACCTGCCATTAGACAGTCTATGCTGTCTTTTTTTCTTTGTTCTTGTAGGATGTTCATACTGCACGAGTTATTCATACATTTCTCCTCACTTGCAGTTGTCCATACGTTCTTCTTTCTCTTTCAATTACTTGTGTTTGGAAGGGTCCAGTCCTCGTGCTGCTACACAGCATCTCATCTCCATCTTCACTGAAGCTTTTGGAGAGCCCCATCACGTGTTCTTCTGGATGTTAATCCTTGAGTTTCCGTCAGAAGCCTGGGCTGATCATTTTCATGGTTTTCCTGAGAACATCCTTCACCCTTTGACTGAATCTGGCTTGCTTGACAGACTCTTGTAAATGTCAGATCTCAGAAACCTGGGATAAGAGTCTCTTTCCATTAGGCTGTAGACAATTTTTTGAGCTTCGTCAAAACAGTTTATGGTGGGTGCCAACACGTTCGCTTTGATAACTTCTCTTGTCTGATGGTCAATGTTAATCTGCACAAAAAATAGAAAAAGGTTTAGACTTTAAGCAGAATTCAGGAAGATGGAATAGATGTTTAAGATTTTTAGAACTATTTTAGAGACTATACATACTTTAGTAACTTCTCATACTGTAGTACATATTGTTTACAAAAAAAAATTTAATATTTTGGACTGCAGAATAATACATTTGATCTTTGTGATAATTTGTTTAATTAGTGTTTATTGAAAAAAACACACCTCCTTTGGAGCCTCAGTTTGAATGTATTGCTCATAAATCTTTTTAGCCTTAGACGTCATCCTGGAAGAAGACTTAATTTTCTTGTAGTCCTCACATGTCAGCCAGAATTCAATGTTCTCATCACTGAATTCAGATTTCAGAAATGCCCGAAACATAGTCATTCCATCTGTCAATTAGAACAGTTCAGACATATTAGTATAATGCAGTAGAGGTTAATGCACATATATTCAATTTCTATAATTACATACAATATATTCAGTATATATATAATGAATTTATACTTTCACATATAGGCTGTCTATCTATCTGTTCATCTTGCATTATTTTAAACTTTTTAAACTGTATTCTTTATGCATTTATGCTGCATCAGGACAGTTTTGTATTTTTTCTTTCTTATTAAAAGGTAAATCTTAACATACAGTAAGAACTTGCTTACATTTAGAATCAAGTAGTTTCTCCAGTGATTGAGACCAAAACAGGATTTCTTCTTGGTTAAGTCTGTTGGGAACAAAATTAAATGTTAATTAGATAAACAGATGTGTTGTATAAATCTTAAGCAGGTATACTGTACTGTATATTCATTATTTTAATATTCCTATCAAGTAATGTGTATAATATGTACCTTGAGTGTTTTGAAGATTCATCAGTGGATGTTGTATTTGAGAACATGGACTGCAGACGACACATGAAGTCTTTTCCCCTGTAAGAATGAAGAGAAAATACTATTATTTTTTTTTTATCCAGGCTATAAATTGAATGAATTTTTAAACATTTGAAAACATTAAGCTGGCACCTTTTGTTTTTTATTTACTGTATGCATTCTGCAGCAAAAGTAAATACAATTTTAATTTGATTTAATTTAAAACTGTAATTTACATTTTGTGATAAAAATGAGCTCACAAATATTTAATTTTATGAGCTAGGCAGTTAGGTACTCTACAGTACATTGCATTCTATTTTTTCAAATTTCTAACGGTTAAATATATCCTAGCTACAGTACACATACAGTATGCAAACAGAAATGTTGCTGAAAAGCAAAAATTAATCTCAGGCTTGTAAAATATTTTAACTTCTGTCAGCTACTTCTCTCAGTTAGAACTCGCATGAAGAGTTTTATAAAAAGCATCCAATGCAGTATTCACTTACAAATTCTTTGCCTTCTTTTTATCATTCTGCTCCATACTCATGTGATCAGATTCTTTCAGTGGTGCTGTGACTGACTGAGAAAACATTAATCCTGGCATCTTGGGTTTTATTCCAGAAGATCAGCTCTTGCTCTTTGTCACACTAAAATATCTCTGCTGCAGGGTCATCTAGCTTCCTTTTTATACACATCTGTGGTTGCTAGGGGCGAGCCTGAGACATCATTGCTGCGTTTTTGAGCATACCGCAAAAAAGAGGAAGTGTTTTTATCACTACATGATGACGTGAGTGAAATGAGAACAGTGTGATGTCTGTACACTCAGATTCAAAACCTATTCAATTTACAGTACCATATTTAACACAGAGGCATGAGAGTCATGCAAATGTAAACCAAACTGTACTAAGATAGGGAAATGCTGACCTTTATTTTTTGGCCTGGTGCATGAAACAGGTCCACTCAGATAATTTTAAAATGAAAGAACAACTTAAAACGTAATTAAAAAGACAATCGCTGATATAATACACGCAGGGAAAACATTAAAAAGCCTTAGCCATTTTTTTGTTTGTGTTTAAATTCAAAGTGCATATTTTTAGGCTTCCAAACCCTACGGCATCTTGAAGAAACCATGTATGGTCAGAGTTCAAAAAAACTTTCATTTGAGAAAAAGATGAAACAAATCATGAGGCTACCCCACAGGTCTTGCACATAAGCTGATTATCACATGAGAAGAGAGTATTTTTGTGCGGGTTTTCTTTAACCTTAAAAAAAGGAAGGCATTCATGATGCATGGAAACTGTGGCATTTGCATGCGTACAGTTCGAAACAGTAAGGTTTCAGTTACAGCCCAATATGGCTCAGACTCTTTATTTATCATTTTATTTTGAAAAAAAAAACAACCAACAACTACATTTGTGCTACACAAATTCAGTTGCTAATATTATGTTCTTTCCTCAGTTTGAACTGTGGAGCTCTAAAACAATGCAATGTTTTCTTCATGAAGTAATAATATTCATTACACCATGAATAAATACTTAAATACCTTTAGACTGTTTAAAATGGGCATACTGGCAGGTCTATCTTTTAAACAGAAATGGTGTGGTCTGCAAAATTCTGCCAGCTTTGTTTTTGACTAGAATATGCAACCATGATCTAATGCACTGCATTTTCAATGTATTGAATATTATATATGAAAATAATATTATATGAAAATAATTTTTAAGATGAAAGATGATAAAAATATGATGAAAGAAAATCTTTGAAGTCCTTTGGAAAGAAGAGTGTAATGATAAAAAGTGTCCAACATTTGAGTTAAGTCTTTCTGTACAGTATTATTTTCCCAAGTGCCTATAATGTCTACAGATATACAATTATGCCAAAGAAAGACAGAGATAGTTTCAAATAAGATTTTGTGCATTGCAGATAAAACCTTGTGTTTTGAGGCAAATAACAAATTTAGCAGTTAGATGTGAAATTGGAAAGTAATGTGGAGGTTAGCACAATAATTTGAGGTAGGAAACAATAACTGAGGGTGGAGCTCTCAAGCAAAGATTTAGATCTTCTGTTTAACATGTATAGACACATAAGTCCGAAGTGAAATGCATTAACCTTTTGAAAGTTTTGAAACAGTTTTTCCCTATGGTGCATACATCAAGTTTGACCATAGTATATAAAAATATCTACAAATGTTAACATCTGTACAGTAGGTCTTTAACACTTCATATGTTTAATATCTTAAACCTTAAAATGTTTACAACTTAAGACTGCCTAAAGGGGTATGAAGGATATTGTTTAATCATGACAGCCATTGGATTATTTTTTGCACCTGTACAGTCTAGTTTTTGTTTTATTCCAGCTATATTAATAAGCTGTATTAACAAAGATCTGTAGTTCTCTAAAGTGTTGGTAGCCATTACAGGATATCTAATGTGTCTTCAAATACATATTTTGAAAAGCCTAATGGTTTCTCTGTCTGTTATTAATCTTATTGTATTTAACGTTTAACCAGGGAAGCAAATAGTTATGTGAAAAAAGGCCTGTCAGTGAGATAAGTGATATAAAACTAAACACACAGAATTGCACTTACTTCCCTTCCATTTCTATGGCAACCTTTTTTCCGTTAAAGAAAACAACAACAATACTGAAGTAGAAAACCCACAAGAAGACACGTCCTGCCTTCACGTGATACTAACTGAGGAAGGCTGGATTTAATAACTGTATTTTTTTAGAATACTTAAGATGTTCTTACAACTGTACAAAATTAATGTGGAAAAGAAAATGTAAATGATTTTTAAAAGCATCATATATCACGTATCATATCATATGACCATATGTGTTTTTGTTTGACTATGGAATAAGTTAGAGGAACTCAGGAAAATCCTTTCATATGTCTGTGGTATTAATAGATTTTCCATAACTGACTTTCCAAGTTGTCTGTGATATTGCTCAAACCTTTGTTATAGTATTGGGCATATCAGAAGAATTTTAAAGTACATGTATTTTTCAAACATGAAAATGGAATCGAAAAGTCATACATACATAATGTATTTCATACTTGTATGCAGTGTATCTGAGACCTGGCATAGGGCTCATATATACAGTATACTGAAAAAGTGAGATATTTAGCCTAGGCCAATTTTGATACAGTAGTAATAATAGTAACATTTGACAACATTTCTCCTGGACAGTTCTAGAATAGGGTGACTAAAATGTTTTCATCATAATAATAAAGAACCCAGGTTGTGTGATAGAAATTCATATCTGTGCTTCATGGATTACTACATTTTGCTGCTTATTTGGCAAACTGGCCTGTTTTTTCTGTTAACAATTCTTACATTTTGCAAGGCAAAGGTTATTATAGGGTCTGAGGACCAACTGTATAACTCGAGCCAGAACTCACAAGTGTAAGTTAGTTGGAAAATATATTTAGACAGAAAATCCTTTAGACAAGGGGTTAATGGGAGTGTGGAAATACCCACCCAGCCATGTTACTGAAACTAAAACACTGGGATCATTCAAGAAACATCAGCTTAACAAGCAAGAAAGTCTGAATTGCTTCCCTTTGTAAGTCAGTAAGTTATTTGGTTGAACAACTAAATAAGCTGATTAACAGAGTTAGAGTGCTTAGTACTTTGCCTTTAACTTACTATTCGGAGATCAGCACTGTCACATTCCACCTCACTTATGAGGTACGATCCAGGGAGAATTGCTGTAATGGCGAGGGAGGAGTGCTAGAAAGGTGCGCAGTGCTGTGTTCAGCCAGGGAGCATTTTTGAACCAGGAAACAGAACTGCTAGATTAGAACATGACCTCCACTTGAACGTCTGTTCAATAATACCATTACAGTTGTTTGGTCAAATTCTAATAATGGCAAAATGAGCTGATGAATATAAAGAGGTAGTGTGCTTAGTACTTTGGCTTTAACTCAGCTGGCTGAGGAAACAACAGTGCTGGTCAGATATCAGTGCCGTACCAAACCCTAGAACAATTCCCTAAACACAGACACAGATTTCAAATGCTGACCTAAGAGCAAGTTGGTTTGGCTGGCTGTTGGTTTGGCTGTGTTTTTGGAAGGCTTGCTAATGTCGGGAAACCTGAAAGAAAGACACGTGCGAAAAACGTCTGTCTGCGACAAAGCAAGAAGCAGAGAGCTGGAAAGAATCATGCAGCGTTGTGTTCAGCCAATGAGCTTTTATGTACAGGGAAGCAGAGTGCGAGATAAGAATTTGACCTCCACCTGAATGTCTGTTCTATAACACATTTTAGCTGAGGAAAATCTAAAAAATATTTCTCTATAGTACAATTATAAACTGCATGTCTGCGTATTCTCAATATACATACATACTCAGTATTCTCAATATAAAAAATATCCATATTTTTTAAATATTACATATAGGTATTGCTGAGGTCATACTGATGACCTGAAAGTGACAACTGTCACTGTGACACATCACAACAACATTATTATTCTCCTCTCCATGTTCATTTGTTGTTTAGCTGGTTTGTTTTGTGAACAAGACAAAAGCATTTGTAATTGTACTGAATCTAATATACTGATGTAAAAAAGAAACGCAACATTTTCTGGAATGAGAATACTATAGTTATGGCTTATGTATTTTCACAAAAAGTTGTCAATTTGTTTAAAGCCCTCTGACCAGTAATACAGCTTGTGCAGTGAGGCATTGCAACTTGCCAATCACATGGAAGCTTGTTAGGTGCACTTTTACCCAACAAGGTCCAGGTGGAACAAAAGGCCACACTTAGCCAGTATTTTTTGCATTCCATAATGCGTCGAATGTCATCAGAAGCAAGGGACAGGGCCATTGGCATGCTGCAGGCATGCATGCCATGTGACAGCATTGCCAGACACTATGGAGTAAGCCGCTCCACTATGTCCCGACTGCAGAGAAGGTTTCAGCAGACCAGCAGGACAGATGACCGTCAAAGTTCTGGTCACCCACGAGTGACCACACCAGAGCAGGACCAACACATCAGACTGGTCCATCGGAGAGACCGTTTCAGATCTGCTACCTGTACTCCTGCTGAAACAGCCAGCAGACTCAATGCTGCTGGCCTTAGAGCAAGGCGACCTGTCAGAGGCCCTCTGTTCACACCTCCTAGATGTCACACCAGATGTCACACCAGACAGAGGCTGCGATGGACTCATCAGCAATGGTATAAGGTCCTTTTCTTGGATGAATCACTCTTCAGCCTGTTCCACACAGATGGGAGGGCCAGAGTGTAGTGGAGGAGGTATTGCGTTTCTTTTTTCCATCACTATATATCTTTCCCAAAAGGAAACCTGGAACTGAACCTACTCTTGATTCCTTATTCATTTATTACCATGCAGAAAAGACTGTATTTACCCTGTTAGCCACTATTTAAGGAAAATAAATATTTTAATTTATATACTGTATTAAAATATTTATATATTTGCAATATGACAGATGTTGTGGGTTTCGGTGGTTCTATGTGCATCTTCTGTTCTTTTGCATTATGATATTTAAGTACAGGGGTAATTGCGTATGTGTCATAGCACTGTCATGATTTTAATTGTATTTATAATATAAAGTAGATCAGAATTAATGAAGAACTGCAAACAGTATACAGTAATTTCATACACAACATTTGTGATATGATATTCACTATTAATTCAAACACTTACA